TTCGCGCGCTTCTCTGCCGTCTCCAAGCCCTAAGTCGCCTGGATCGAGCAAGCCCCTAGAAACTCTCCGCCTACCCGCTCACCTTAGCTTCGGTCAAAGCTGCAGCTAACTAAGCTGCTACATCCTGTGCAACACCGGCATCCCAGCTCAGCCATTCGATGAGCTTCTCATCGTGGTCTCGCACACTCTCGCAACTCCTCCTCTTGCCTTGCCGATAGACCGAGGAAACCAGTGGCCTGGTGGGCAAGCGATGAGCTGACGCGTGAGCGGTTGATCAGAGGGCTCGTGGCCCGCGTGAACCATCGTCACGGCTTCACACCGATCCTGCCACAACGGCCGCGTGGTGCCCAGCTTCTGATGAAGCTGATTCTCAGTTGATCGGATGTTGCACTTGGTGCAGCTGCACAGTCTCATGCCTCGAAAGCGCCAAGCAAGTCAGCTCAGAAGAGGAAGCACCGGACAAACTGGCATCCGTATCGTGCAGTGCGGGCAGCATATTACTCCTGCAACTCCGAGGCCTTCGATCCTGTACGCACAAGAAGAGAAGATTGCGGACGTCCGGACTTGGTGTGAATATTCCCCCAAAGCGATGAGGAACCCTGGCATTCCACGTGCAGGTGGTTGCACGGCATGGACCATATCAAAAGATTCCAACAATCAAACAGTCAAACAAGCATGTGACAGCATCTTCGGCCGTGTACACCGTCAGTGCTACAACTGTGCAAAGGGTTACCGTTGCGTGTTGCAGTTGGATCTAGGGGCCGAAGACACGCTTTACAAACCGCCTTCCCCTGGTCTTTTGGCATTGCTTCGCAAATGTGATCGCTGCAATTGAGTTGCACCAAATACAACCCCCAGCAGCTCGCGGCGTCTCACGATGCAGAGTATGCTCTGCGCTTACACAGGCCCCAAGTTGGCGGGGACCTGCTTGCTTCTGCTGCCCCTAGCTCCAGCAGCTTTCCTGAACCAGTTTGACTAGAACTCGTGCACTCACTCCGTAGAACAGGAACTTGATACCCGGTGCGATGCAGTGCAGGCAACGCAAACATGACGGAGTGAGCAGCTGTGGGGACTTGCAGAGGATGAGTGGCGTCATCTGCTCCCTCATCTGCCGGACCCACAAGCAACAGAGAAGCTTCCAACAGGCACGACTGCACGATAAGGATGGATGCCGGTGCCCCTAATGGCAGAAGGCAGAGGCAGGCTCACTCCTGCTCTGCAGCTGGCACCACTCCCCATACGCATGTTAGCTGCGCAGCCTGCGAGCACAGATGCCCTCAGAGCCCTCTCCGGCCAATGCGCCGCTCATGGCTGAGAATCCATTCCACTGTCTCTTCGTTCTCACGCAATCCCGTCGTGCGTGAGCTTCAGACCTGAAGATTTTGACATCGACAGCGCAAGGAAAGAGTCACAATGGTCTCTGAGCAACAGCGCCGCTGAAATCGGTCCATCCATGCTTTGGCCCATGGTGTCATGATGGCTTGATTCGGCCCAACACAGGTGGCAAGATGCCAAGGAATTGTAAGGAGGTCATGCTTGTGGACTTCCTCGACAGGTCACGGAATCAAGCTCGTGACGCGATCGGGTGGGCCCCACAATGCACCTGATGAGCCGTGCCACTGCAATTATCTTAAGGCCTGAACCTCTTTCTCTGCGAACCGGAAGGGAAAATGTCTGTAAGGTGGTAGCTTTTGCTTCGCAGCAAAGACCGGACCGTGCAGCTCCCAACAACTCACAAGGCGGCATCAGCAGTTGCAGCGGCGCAGCTGGAAAGCACAACAGCTTCCGTCGTCTGCCGGAGTCTGGCACATGCTCTGCGCTCACACAGGCCCCAAGTTGGCGGGGACCTGCTTGCTTCTGCTGCCCCTAGCTCCAGCAGCTTTCCTGAACCAGTTTGACTAGAACTCGTGCACTCACTCCGTAGAACAGGAACTTGATACCCGGTGCGATGCAGTGCAGGCAACGCAAACATGACGGAGTGAGCAGCTGTGGGGACTTGCAGAGGATGAGTGGCGTCATCTGCTCCCTCATCTGCCGGACCCACAAGCAACGGAGAAGTTTCCAACAGGCACGACTGCACGATAAGGATGGATGCCGGTGCCCCTAGTAGCAGAAGGCAGAGGCAGGCTCACTCCTGCTCTGCAGCTGGCACCGCTCCCAATACGCATGTTAGCTGCGCAGGATGCGAGCACAGATGCCCTCAAAGCCCTCTCCGGCCAATGCGCCGCTCATGGCTGAGAATCCATTCCACTGTCTCTTCGTTCTCACGCAATCCCGTCGTGCGTGAGCTTCAGACCTTAACATGCACCTTACCACCTCGATTCTCGTAAAGGCTGTGTGTGTGTGAACTGTTCAGTCAGCTGATGCTTGGAGAGTCAGTGACAGGATGCACGACCAACAGCTGCTTCACATGTAGCGGGTCTACAGAATTTCTCGTCACAAATGCATGAAATGCGAACATCTTCGCGGGAGTGCGGACCCTTCTTTCCACCCCACGGGCGCCACAAGTCACGGGCCGAGAACCTTCTTGTTGCCAGCTGTTGTTCGGATTTTCGTGCGACAGAGGGTTCGCATCGACGAAGAAAAGCTCACAGGGGCCTCCGAGCACCCACGGCTGTACTTTCTCACATCGTGAAATGAGAGCCGCGACATTGGCGAAACAGTCAAGAAAATTCTGCCAATGCTGCAGTCAGCCAAGCTCGTGTAGGCTGAGAGGCTCCATCAGTGCAACCGCAGGGCATCAACAGCTAGTGCGCGCGGCAAACACGGGCGGCAAGCCTAGCCGACGACGAAGTATCCGGAATGCGAGGCTCAACTGTTGGGGATTCACTTCGAAGTGTACCAGAGCCATTGCAGACAGAGCAGACCTTTGATTCAAGTCGATTGGTTCAGACATGCCTGACCCTCGGCATCCTCCGGGCACTATCATTTGCTTCTCCCTGTGGCGACATGGCTGCCCTGGCCACCCTACTTGCTTGTAGAGCCAGCTGTCGACACATGAGCATCAATGCTGTGATGTACAAACCAAAAAAACGTTGCCTTGTGTTCAGGGCTTATATACCACCAAACACAACGAACATTCCATCGGTTACGTGCTACGTGTTCTTGTTCCCTCTGTTTCTCGCATTACTTTAACATGGGTATGGCAAGAAAAGAAACTATACTACGCACAAACCGAAGCTACCCGCCCTTCCTTACCATCCCCGAAGTTCCCAAAACTCTTACCTGGTCTGCTCAGGGTTTCCTTCCGGGGTCATCGTGATTGTTGCACAGAATGTTGTTTGGAAAGCAGGCTAAAGTGCTAAAGTTCAGCAAAGAGTCTCGGGATACCACTGCAGCCAACAACATACTCCAGCCATTAACCCGTTCCAGCCACAAAAGTCCTCCAGTCAACACTTCTTCCTCCCATCGATCCCCTCTAAACCAGAGCCCTCCAGCTAAGGCATCCCCAAGGCCAAGTTCAACCTGCCAAAGCCCCTCCAACCTTTTTTTGGCGTGATGCGGCCTCGTAACGCGACACTGCTCCGTATACTGCCTTAGTTCCAACAGCTATCCTGCAAAAGAGCTTTTGCCCTCACATCCAATCATGGGAATATCACGAAGTGGCTCACTTTCTGGCCTATAACGGAGCGGCAGCCCTAGAATATGGACGCCCACAAAGGCTTGCAGAAGGAGCTTCCAGGAGGACACAGTGCAACTCAAGCGTGTCAGCTGATGGATTCAACTTGCCACTGCACAATCCTGTAAACATCAGTGTACCCTCAGAAAGCTTCGCAAACCTCCAGACTTGGTTTGGCTTTCCGCCGCCTGTGAACAGAGATGCACAGCCGACACGCTGGTGGTGACTGAGAGCTGTCTCTCGCTTCTCACGCAATCCGGTTGTGGGTGAACTGTAGATTGCTCGTGCTTTGGACGATCTGAATTTTCATGAAGGCTGTGTGCTGAACTGCTCAGTCAGCTGATGCTCGGAGAGTCAATGACGGGCGACACGACTAACATCTGCTTCGCTTGTAGCAGATCTAGGTCCTGCATGGAGTCTCTCGTCACATGCACGAACATCTTCGTGAGAGTGCTGACCTTTCTTTCAAGACTCGGATGCCGCAAATTGCGGGCCCAGAACCTCCTTGTCACAACTGTTGTTGGAACTGCTGTTTGGAATTGGCCTTATACACGCCGTATTGAATTAAGATAGCAAGAAATCCCTGCGTCACTTTTATTTATGTTGAGCACTGCTCACTTGCCTGGGGTTATGGTGCTGTCGGCTCTGCATTGGTTCAGTTTAGACTTCCCATGACTGGATACGTTCGCCTTTGAGTTTGACACCGAAGGAAAAGGCCTCCTTGGCGCCGCCCAGGCCCTGCTCCAAGAAGTCGCCACGTAATATCCTCTAGGCTCCCTGGTTTGGAGAAACTTTTGGAGAGTGAAGCCCTTCAGTCGTTCCGAGGAGCAGTTCCGGCAGCTTGGGAAGCGACTGGGAGTGGCCTAAGGCACGTGGAATGCGAGGCGAAAAACTGTTGGAGATTCGCTTCTGGACCATCGCAGCCATAGAAGACCTGAGACTCAAGTCTACTGCTGCAAAGAAGTGCGACGCTCGCTCTCTTCCATCAGAACACCTCATGACCCTCATGCAACCCAGCCTTCGCCGACCGTATTGAAACACATGGTCTCTAGACCACCGTCAGCTATCTGGCAGCTATCCATGCCAGCCGAGCCGGCAGTTGCCACGTGAACAAGTCAAGGATCCGCAACTCACGAACCAAGAATCACCGAGCAGCAAGACATCAACCTGTCTCTTCCGAGCTGCTCGAATTCACTCAAGGGAATTCTCAGACTGAAACAAGGTAACATCTGTCAACGGCAGCTCTACGGCAACCCAATGTGCTACCTGCTCACTACCGTAGTTCATATTATACTATTGCATAATATACTGCGGCTTGACAGTGAGAGGAGACATTGCCGTTTTGCTTCGCGCGCGTTGATACTCGGATCCGAGTACGGCACTACTGGAGCAGGCCGTGATCAGTTTCGGGCTCCACGCTCGCAGCCTGCGAAAAGCAGGCATCCGGGCATCTGCCACCTCCGGATCAGAGCGGGTCTTGTCCTGTCCTGGAGGGCCAAGGCGCGCTTCTTCGCCTCCAAAGCCTCCAGCAGGGCCTGCGAACCCGCAAAGTCACGCACTGGATTATGCCTTTTTTGGGCTGGCCGCTGGCCTGCTTCTCTCTGCTTTCTTTTTCCTGGCATGGCTGCACTCTCGGCTTGACCAAACCACAGTCACCTCGCTGCAGAGCCTTCTCTTCCTGGCAGAACTGCATGTAGGAAGACCACCTCAGATATCGGGCGTGATGTTGTACTCCCTACACACAATAATTAATCCTGCGACATCTTGCTGCGACGAAGAGGCATCTCAGCGTTGACACCGCTTAAGGCCTGGTTAGCCTGGGCCTTGGCAGGAGAAATAAATCCTTCGAATTGGTTCACACTGGTGTTCTTCGGCCTGTATCACGTCCTGCTCTGCTCTCGCGTTCATGTCACTTTCCAGAGCCTGAGAAATTGCTTGAAATTACGCGGCCGGACTGGTGATACGTGGCCGTGGTGTCATGTTGCCTGCTCCTGCGTCTGAGGCTTGGCAAAGCTAATGGCCACCTCGCGCACAATGCACCACTGTGCCGGTTCATGCTGCAGCGAAGGCATGCCTTGCGCGAGTCAATCATGGACCCTGCAGCCAGCATCCGGTTCTTGGCCGTCACCGCCTCAAACTGCGGCGCCGTGACTCTGAGGAACCTCTGACTGTCATCCAGCTACTTGCTGGGTTCGGTGCATCGCTGACTGTGTAGAAATTCACGAAGCAGAAGCCCTGACCAGGCTTCCGGATAACCCCGTCCCGAGCTGTGAATCATGGAAGTTGCCTTTGACTTTCTGGTGGATCTGTCCAACATCATGCGGACCTCAGATCACATGTGACATCCATTGCTCCCAAACATGCTGTTTCTGGGTTTCTTCTGCTCTGAAAGGACTCAATCAGACATTGAGACCGGCACGCCCTTTACTACTGGCACATGAGACTGGAAGGCCTGCACATGATTTGTCAAGCTCATGACTCTACGTGCATGGCGCGAAATGCTACATGGCTTCCCACCGGCCTTCTTAATTCGGGCCTCTTCCAGCTCTCCTATTAACCGTACCATCAGGGTATCGGAAGGAATCTCCTCGACACCTGCAAGTGATGTCGGAAGCATAGGCTGCGCCAAGGGGCTGGCCACGCTTGGCCACGCTTCGCCTTCCGTGAGGGCGGCCTCCTGTTCGGCCTCACTGGGAGCCTCGAAGGAAAGCGCCAGAATTGGACACCATGTGGGACACCTCAGACTCCGAGATTGGAGCAGCACCAGAATGCTGCAACCTGTAGACCCACTGCCGTACCTGGGAGAAATCGCAATGTCGCAACTGATGAAACGCACCCATTTGGTTGCAATTTCAACTGGCCTTAAGCTGACCGTTGGAGACTCGCAAGAACTCTCGACCTGCGAAACGTGGGCACGGAAGTATCACGGACTCCATGCCGGATAGCTGAGACCCGAGCAAGCTTCCTGGTACGGGAAATCTATGAAAACCAGGGACTGAGACACGAATCTCACCTTAGGCAAACTTCAAAACAATTGCACTTTAGGATCCGAAGGGCTGTCCAAGTCCGGCGAAGGATGCGCCCTCCAGTGTCCCCTACTGACGCTCCGAGCTCCAGGCCTCTTCTGGCGTGCTGAAAGAATGCTGGATGCAAAGTTGTCGAGCCTGCTCCTACAACAGGTCCAGGGGAATATCGGGTTCAGGCTCGGCAGCATCCGGTCCTATCGCATCTAAACCCCCCGGGGCCAGGGAAGGGCCCGTCCTCGATATCTTTCTCAATGCCTGGCACCACGCACCCAAGGCTTCAGACGAGGCGTCTAGCCCGGCCGGCCCCGCCTGCAGGAAGACTTCCTGCTCCCAACAACATCACGGTGTTGGGTGTTGCCTGCATCTTGTGTATGTCGATGTGTATGTCGAGCTGCCCACAAGCAAAGCAGAGGACCAGTGCAGCTCCCAATGTTTTGAACCTCGAGCCTCAGCGTGTTGACACCGCTTTGCGGTTATCGGAATCAGAGGAGACAAAAACTGGCAGTGACTTGCATGTAGCATCATGTAGCACAGGCATTGGTTTAGTGTCTGTCGCGTCTCCTCTGGAAAAAGAAGCTGAGATCTGCTTACACTTCAAAACTCCGAATAAACCTGAAATCACAACGATCAAGGTCGTGTGTGGAAGTTGGAGTTGCACCATATCGAAGAGTTCAGGATGTCACAGCCGTGTTGGTTCCTTTCCTTGCGGAGGCTTCCAAGATACCGGGCTTGGTGCAACACACATTTGGCACGTTCCTGGCTGTCCGAGCCGCATGCCCCTGCGAGCACGAGCAGTGTGCCAATACGCTATCAGTGGCACCGGACTTGTCTAGGTCCCTGCTTTGGCCCTCTCAACCTCACTGTATGCCGAGATGTTACACAGCTTGAATTGCCGCTACGTGTTATGGTGGTTTTCACTTGGGCCTCTGCTTCAGCACATCAAGAAATCACAGATTGCTGTGTCTGATGCATGGCAGCGTTTACCGCTTGGCGGTCAGCCGCAGCTCGAGCGTACGGAGAAAACTTTTTGGCCAGAACATAGCTCATGCAAGAGGAATCTTGCCTTGATCTCTTTAAGTCTTTTAGCGTACGATAATTGCCCTTTGAACTGGCTCTGGCTCAGCCCTCGAAGCAGTCTCCGGAGAAAAGGATCACATTCCGCCAGCGCCCTGGGCGAAGGCGACTGTAGAATCGATAGAAAGCAAGAAGCCCTGGGTGATCTCTGGATTTCGTGCCTCCGCGCCCAAAGTCATTGAATGAGGGGAGACGTAAAGGCTGGTCCTCTCAAGCTGCGAGTAAACCAGGGAGACCGGCAAGCGCAAAGCATGAGGCCTCCTTGATTGACTTTCGGCCATGTCTCCGTACCTGTGGCTGCGGATGGCTGCGGTCCGCTCCAAATTCCGCTGCTTACGAATGCCAAACACGCTGTGAGTACCGAAGACCGTCTGCATCCAAACGAAGGAGCGGAAGAAGGGGTACGCATAACAAGGGGCCTCGGCAAGCGGGGTGGATCCATGCAAGCTGCTAGCAGAAGTCATCTGGCTTTTGCTGCAACAAGTGTTCGACAGCAGATGCTTCAGTTCCTGTCCGTGTCTCGAGCCGAAGCTGTACTGCCCAGTTTTCGTTCTGCGCTCCGCCGTATCGCACTCCGCCGTATCGCTTCGGCTTTGTCTGCCGGTGGGTGGGACGCACCTCCCGCGACAACACGAGACACACCCAACAATTCATCCCGTTTCACGCAGTCAACTGGTCGGTGCAGGGGTGCTGCCTGCCGCTGCTTGAGCGGGTTAGACTTTCTTTGATTTCTTTGGACTCTGGCCGAACTACATTAGTTAGTGACGTCAGGCAGAAACGTCACAACATGCAAGGAGGTCGTGTGCCAGTAGAGGGTCACAGGTTGATTCCAGTCGATAGTCATTCTTTATGCCACGGTATGCTACCATCTTTAGGTGGTAACACCGCGCTGTTCTGCTTTGGCTCCGGTAGCTGAAGAACCCTTTGGCACTGAGTGCGCGTTGCACAGCTACCCGCGCAATCTGGGCTTGACTCTTTGCTTCCCGTCGTTCCGCCCACATTACCAGGGTCAGCGCCCAGTGGAACCGCTCCGCAACAACGTGCTTCAAGAGCTCGCACTTTAGCAGGTTTGGATCTGCGTGGGGACTCCAGTCACGACGCAGTCATGAAGAGATATTTCGTTAAACAGAGCCACAAGTAGATTTGGCAAGGTACTTCGCCGCCGTGCCGGAGAACGCAAGTCATTGCACAAAGCTCGGTCCCATCCATCTTCTGCAACAGCTTTTTCCGCCAAAGTCCAGCGGCAAGCTCTCGCCGGTGTCCAGTGGTGAGCAATGCCAGTGCATGTCGAAGCAGCCTGATTCATAACCCTCAGGCTGGCTTTGTCTCCACGTTTTCGAGCCAAGATTTGCCCTCAGCACCCCATCGCCATCTCTAGCAGTTGCTGTTGGGATGTGACGGTAATTGATATGGACATCTCCCGGAGCAGCATCTCGTCGGAGGCGCTCAAGACGTGACAGCCATTCCGTGGTGATCGCCTCCTTACCGTCCTGAGGAAACCAAGCCCACACAGAAAGCCACGACAGCAACACCGGTGGCCAACCACCGTTACGGCACTTCAACACAAAGCGCCCTTAGACTGACGGCCAACGCGCTTTCTGGGGAGACTCAGACAGAAAACACTTTGTTGGATAACATCGATAACAGCCAACTCCAGAGCCGTCGGATTGCCCCTTGCAGCGGCCTCTGCCACTTTTCCACTTCGCTGATAAGCATCCGCACAAGTCCCCAGCCAAGGCACTAAACCAAATCGTGGGTGGCATGCTCTGCAGAGGCTTAAATGTACCGACCATTTCGCCAATTATTATGGGTTATTACCATGGACATACATCCATGGACCGGTCTTCTGCTCCGCGATTGAACTCCAGAATCAATTGATGTGGCTGCTCACGACATCCCCAATAGACTATGGACTGCACCACGCCTGAGACCATTTCCCACCGCAGACAACCTCGCCGCGGTGGAGTCCTTCTAGTGGGCGAGCGGTGGACAAGATCAACATAAGTGACGTGGGCTTTGCATGAGCTTAGAGCCCGCGCGACTCAGCTGCAAAAGGTAGTGACAACAATGTGGTGCCAGTGAGCCGCATTTCATTCGACAATTCTGATACATGAGCTGGTCAGCAAACTGGTTATTGGTATGACATCCGGGAATCTACTGTGCACACGATGCTTACGGCTCAAGATTGACCTTGACGAACTCCTACCTTCTCGATGCCACGATTCTGATTCAGTGTACCAACCTGGAGATTTGCCAAGTGCAGTGTGGCGAGTGCCACCTCTCCTAAGGGTGCCTCCTAGCGAGGCTGAGAGTTGGGGTCTGGCAATGCAGCCTCTCCTTGGGCCTCAGGTCTGGACGGGGAGTGTTTTGGGGTATTTCCGTCGCCCGGGGTCCTGGGAGGCCTCGTGCCGGACAGCTTTCTGGGTGGGCTTCGGGCGAAACCAACCTAGTCTTGGGCTGGTGGGGTTCAATCGGTGCCAACCCCAGAGACCAAAAAACCAATCGGAAAGTATGCGGCGACGGGTGTACCGGAAGCGATGCATACAGAAAAGTCTTCGTAACCGGCTTGTGTTGCTGGCTTTGAGGAAGCGACGAGCGGGCAACAGAGTGGTCCAAAGACGGCATGTTTTTCGGTGGAAGTTTGGTAGTTGGAACATGTACCATGATCTTATCCGATGTAGCGACTGGGATCAACGGTACAAAGTCTGGGGAAGTGGATGGAAAGGCGTGGGGTGGTACTGCGAGGCACAGCGGCGATCGCGCTAAAAGGGCCGCTAACAGCGGAATGGCATGCGGGCGGGCCTAAAGTACATGTTGCAAGGACAGGCCAGGAGAGGGTGATGGTGCGGATTTTTCGTGTGGGTAGTTAGCTCTGGTGGCAGATTCACGCGGCGCCTCGTAGGGTCAGAATAGAGTTTTGGGACCAGCTAACCAGAGTTATGCGGGCGAGCGCAATTGATGACATCGTAATCGTGGGAGGACTACAATGCGGATGTGGTGGCAAATTCACACGATGACTGGCCGCGGGTGGTGGGAGGGTTTGGTAGTGTGCGTAGGTGCCAGGGTGGTCAAGACTTGCTGTCGTGGTGCACTCGCAATGGCATGGCGGTAATGGACACGTTCTTTGCGCAACCGATGCGTAAGCGACATACCTGGTGGCACCCGGCGGATCATTTTCTTGCGAAGGAAGCTGTTTTCGTTCGTGTATGGTGTTTGTACAGTACACGAGGATCGAAGGGGAACGCGGGCGAACCTCTGAGGCGACCTGTTGGGGGCACGGACAGCAGGGCAGGGGATGTGGCGCGCCGCAAGGACGGGTGCACTGGGATAACTTCACGGATCACTTACCGGTGAAATTGCAGAGTCACTTCTGGCCGATGCAGAATCGAGCGACAACAGAAAGATTGTGTTGCTGCAGGTTGAAAAGCTGGAGATGCCAGGAAGGGAGGCGAAGGAGCTCGGAGAAAGTGGCATGAGATCCTGCAGGCAAGTGTTCGTGATCACAAGGCCAGCAAGGGCTACTTGGGATGGGATGATATCACTACAATGTGTTTAAAAGCCAAAAAAGGAAGTGTTGGGAGCGCTTAGGGCGGCGGGCAGGAGGCCACACCTGAACGGACATGGATGCAGCGGACACTCTAGCGCCGGCTGCGGGAATTCAGAGACGCGAATAGCATAGCAGGCAGGTTAGCAAACACAGGCAGGAGACACGATTGCGATGGAAATGGGAGTGGGTTGATCGCGTGACGGAGAATCTCCAGAAGGCTCATCAACAAAACAACACGAAGGAAAGCCTTCGGGGGTGAGGCATGAAGTGAAGAAACTTAAGGGCGTTCAAGCGACGGTAGCAATCCGTAAGAGGAGCGCGAGGACTGGAAGGAGCATTTTCGCAAAATTCAGGAAGGACCGGAAATTGCGCAGGAAACGGCATGGCAGAATGTGAAGCGAGCCGACGAGGTTGCGGGGCGTACATGGCGTTTTGGCGGAGTTCTACAAGCACGGCCCAGATGAGCTTCGTGACGAAATGCTAAAGCCGTGGTTGCGGGACAGGAAGCGGCCGATTGGCCAGAGAGTTGGAACAAGGGCGTGGTGATATACCATTATGGAAACAGAGGGGGGACAAGACAGATACATCCACATGGAGGGGAATCACTTTGCTCAGCGTTGGTTCGAAGTTGCTAGCTGCTATCCCGCGTGGTGACGCAACGGATGCAGGTTTGGAGCGAGCCGCGGTTGCCGGAGGCAAAGATGGTCTTTAGGCGCAATGGATCAGATGCTGCAGGTAACGAGGCGGTTGGTTGAGGAGGGGGACGAGCAGCGTGGACACTGGCGAAGTCATATTAGTACGATCACTTGATATGTAGACAGAAGGCCTACCCTCACGCAAGCAGGGACTCAACATGGCGGCTCATGAAAATTGAAGGGGCTCCAGATGAGTTCATCAGCATATGTCGAGCGGGGCATGAACATACAGAGTATCAAGTACGGGTGTAGGACGCGAAATCAACAACACAAGATACCGGGGTATGCATCACGAGTGAAGGTCATGAAGGCAGTGATAATGCCGCTGACTTGCTTTGGCCGATCCAGGGTGTGGAACCACATGGAACCACGAACACATCTTTCAGCTACAAGGGATGGTAAATTGTGGATGCACAACAATCTTGTGAATGGCGGCATGCTGTGAGTTATTGTGAGTTTGCCCAGTGGGAACCGTTCGAGTTTATGCAAGACAGAGTTTGTTTTGGCTAGTATACGTAGCGCGCATGGTGCGAGTGACTACCGAAACAGGCCTTATTCGGATGGTGGAAACGACACAACATACAAGAACACCCGCATATGCGACAACAGCCGTGGCTTCGATACCTTTTGGCCCAGATACCGATTATTGAGCTTGATTGGCTCCGAATCGCGCGAGGACCGAGAGGAGCGGAATAGAGTGCTGGCAACGTTTCCGGTCACCAACAATGATGAACGTCATGAAGCCCTGCTGAATGCATGGGAACCAGGTTTTGGGGCCTCCTCCGGATGTCTTGGCAGATTCCATATATTCCATCGGGAGAAACGAAAGCGTGATGCCCGGTGTGGTCAGGGTTTTGCTAGGAGCCACAGTTTGGTGGCTCAATACGTGCAGCAACATGCGGTGGCGGACCCGCATCAGACGATGGTGGACGTTTATGGGTGTGAGGCGTGTGGGCTCATCGCACAACATGCTGCAATGACTCAGCCGCATTCACAAGACTCGCGACTTCATGCCTGTAGCCTCGTGCTCCCTCCTGTGACCAGAAGCTATACAGACTGATACAGCTACCTGCCGGAGGCTTGTTGGAGGCCCAGGCGGCGCCATCACCAAGCGTTGCGGAGTCATTGTAGCTCGCTGCGGATGAGACCTGCAACGAATCCCAGGAACGCGCGGGCACATTGTCTACTGAGCAAAGGAAAGTACACGCCTCGGCCGAGGAACATGGAGGGCTTCGCTAATGATATCGAAATCCTGCATCACTGAAAGGCGGGCGAATCATTCAGGCCACTATCGAACGTTCCTGTGTAGTACTATGATCCCTGAAGACCCACAGCACAAGCTTCTCTGGACATGGTCTTAACTGCCTCGTCAGAACTTTACATGACGGAAAATCGAAGCCCTGCTCGGGGCGTCCCGTCCTCCTCCTGCAGTCCACCGTCGGCGGGTGCAGCATAGACCTGCAGCCCACGCGCTTTGGCCTGGCGGCAGAGGGAGGAGGAGCGGAGCAACCCAGGAATCCCAGGAGCTGAGCATCCGTTTTGCTAAGACTAAGGCACCTGCCTGCAGGCCTTAGAAAGCTACGAAGACGATAACAAAAACGCTCTTTTGCGTCATGGTCTGACCTTTTTCCGTACCTCAGAACTTCGCAGTGAGAAAAAAGTTTGAGTTTCCAAGGACCTGTACACTGTAGCGATAAATTTGGCTGCACTGGATCACTGAAGAGCACAACCGTACCGCACGAGTAGCTGCGTAGCTGCTGGGATGGACGGGGAAAATTCAACTCCAATCGACACTTCCTCCAGCAATCAGCTCAAAAAAGAACCACTGCACCGATTAGAAACACATGCTGTCAAATGAAACCCCTTTGAACGCAGCGGTTAAGGTGAAGTCGATTTCATTGGCGAAACAACCTTTTCAAAGCGTGGCAGCATGACGCGCTCGAGCTCCAGCACGTCATCGTCTACCAGGAGGATTCGACTGAAAGGCACCTCCCGCGTGTCCGCAATCGCTTTCCGGCGGGTTCTGGCCCGGCACCCGCTGCAGCCAAGGGGCTCCATGACCTCTGGTGGATCCCAGTCTTGGCAAGCAGCCCTTCCTTGGCAGCCAAAAGATGCTAAGATGAGCCGCAAGAAACAGGAAAGGTCGAGACAGGGCGAGATCCTCGATGAAACCAGCCTGGCTTGGAACAGCAACTCTTAGGCTCAAATCTTCGATTCCTCTTCGCCTCCCTCCGACATATTGCGCCCTGCCCGAGCCTTGCCCTCGAAGCCCACGGCCTCACGACACGAAGGTGTGATGCGACACATGCGACGAGCCGACCGCGCCTTGGCCACTAGGGGGGCATCGAAGAATTTCAAGAGGCCGCTAGCCTCCAAAGCGCTGCGGATGGTGCCCTGGCGAAGTGAGCGCAGTATGGCGACACCAAACGAAGAACTGCTCGCTCCTCTGTGCTCTTGGAAATGATGCCCAAGGATGCGCCATCTGCACGCCTGGCAGCAGCCCTACTCAGCTTGCAGATCCACTGCAGACAAACACACGTCAAAAGACGTGAGCATGCAAGCATGATCAAGCATGCCAGACACACAGACCCCTGAGCCTGGGCTCCAGCATGGCAGCCCTCTCCTAGAAAGAAAGCAAAGCAAACTGATGCCGCATGCTGTCACGTCTCTGAGAAATTGGATCGAGACCACTTCTACACTGCACGCATCACCACAGTCACCACACGACATGGCAAAAGCATCGTGCACTGCATTTCGACATCTGCTGGCCAGGTGGTGGTTCATAGTCATAGTCATAGTTTTCTTAGAAACCACAAGGGGGCGAAGGCCTCCAAGCAACAAGACCCGGGTGGATCAGCTCGGACCCTGGCGCAGAGTTCGACCTGCTTGGTCCTGCGTGCTGCTCGATCACCCGGCGTAGCTGTCAAGGTCCCATCCTCGAAGCGATGCGAAGCGATGCGAAGCCATGCGAAGCGGCGGAGCGCTGGTGCACAAGAGATCAGGGCAATTAAGCCTCTCGCTCGGCATCTTACTGGGGGCTGCACAAAGTCGAAGAAGACGACAGCAATGCCACGTGGTGGCGTTTTGAATTCCTCTCGCACCTCGGCTGAGGGAGCTTCGTGGTGCTTCGGCACTCCTGCGCCGCATCGGAGCGCTTCTTCGCGTGCATCCAAGCTGCCGGGGAGGGCGACTCTGGACACTCCGGGCATGGAATGGAGTGTTCCTGAACTCTACGGCCGTGCCTACGCGACACAGGCACAGCTTGGCCGAGCTTGCAGCCGACATGGACCGCAAAGACATCAGTGAACCCGAAAGCGCCAGTTGACGGGGCCTTGTAGCCGCCAGCTGGAATTCGCGGCTCACAGACTTCCACCGAAAAATGGCTTGGATGTGCACTTCCGGCTGACAGATGGCTGAGATGGTGTTGGAGGACCTCAACTCCCAGCAGCTACCAGCAGAGCCCTTGCAGAGCCCCCCTCCTCAGGTCGACACCGATTTGAGCCTCCTCCGTTGCCCTCAGGGACCTCCTGCCTTAGCCAGCGACATGCATGCCTCAGGAGCCGTAAGGACGCTTCACAAAGTGGCTTTGCCGGGCCGCCCGGGCCGCTGGGACTGCCAGCCCAGGAAAGGCCTGTGGTATCGCAGGACGCGACTCTGCTGCTGCTTTTTTCCCGCTCTGCGACTGCTCTGCCGCCCTTCCCGAGATCGTCACCTGCAGAATCCTGAAAGCTCGCTGCTCAGATGTGTTCAAGCGTCTCGTGCAAACATGCGATTTCCATGAGATCGGCCACGTCCTCGTCAGGAGACTCCGCGCGGTCGAGCACAGCAATTGGCCTTTCAGCACAGAGACATATTTTCTGCAGCGAAGGCTGGTTTTTCTAGGCCGCAGGAATAGCCTTGCACGAGGTCGTCGTCGAGGAGAGATGGGTGCGATAACCTTCTCAAAGAATCATATCATCTCAACTGACATGGCCAACGGCGGCAATGGGAGAAGCCTCTGTCACGCTGCTCCGAGGAGGAAGTGCTCGGAGAGAGCCTGTGCAGAACATCACGCCTGTTGTGTTTTGGGGATTCGGTCGAGATAACATGCATGAGCCTAAGCCTTCAAGCCTTCAGAAACCATCTCTTCCGTGCTTCGTCCCCAGGGTCCCTCAGGATCCCTCACCCTCTTTCCCCTGAATCAGACGCCTGTGGGAGCCACCGGCGAGCTGACGGTGGAGCCGCCCTCCGGCTCCAGGCCACAGCCCGAGGCCGGACCTCAAACCAGAACGCGACTCCGACCGACTGCGACCTGTCTCTTGGGACTTTGACCTGCCCCCAAATTCGGCACGGAGGTGCAATGGTCCATGTCGCCTCTCAATCCTGCCATGCCAGCGAAACAGCACCAGTGCTTCCTCTTTGAAGTCCCAGCTGGGCCCCTGCCCCTGCCCGCAGCTTCTCTGTCGTAAGGTTGAACTACGGTTGTCCCGGGGCGAGCACCCATCTGTGCAGCTTCGAGGCCCCCCAACATCTGAGGCTTAGCTCGTGCAAGCTGCTTGAAGGCGCGTGGGCTTCTCTTGCGTTGGGGCCCTGTCAAACGGAGAGATCCTGCCATACATACACACGGCTGTTTAGATGGAACACATAGCCTACCTTTTGCTTCTTTAGCACAACTTGCGTACTCTGAGTCTGCGTGCTCCCTGTTGTACTTCTCTCCCTCAACAAAAAAACAAAAGGCAAAGGGAATCCCTTCCTACCGTCGCGCGGGGTCTCGCCGTGGATTTTTGGCCCAAGAGGAAGGCAGGTTTTGAGGGCCGGGTGTACTTCTCTCGGTCACTCTCCGTGAAGTGTCTCGGCTCGGCCTGAACACCCGCTGGCAAAGGGACCATCGCGCAGGGAGGGCGGTTGAAGGATGGCCCGTGCCTCTGCGCTCCCTGGCTGCGTTGAACTCGCTCTTAGAGGCACTTGGGAAACTCCCTGTGAACTGACCATGCGCGGCTTCATTGTTGCTTCAGTGAGACTGGTATCTGGAGCCACGATGAGGTGCGGCGGCCACATCGACTCTGGTGGAAACCTATCTATATTCTGTTCCCGCCCATGAAACCCTGTATACTGGGCGAGCTACGACTGACAGGTCTCGACTCCGTCCGGATCTGAAACGCGCCTGTTGCCTGGAGACCGGAACCGGCACAAAGGCCTTGCCCACGATCGGCCTCGATTTGCTCAGAGACTTGCAATGCCACAGTGGAGCTGAACAGCTTCTGCCTCGTTTTGGCAACTCCCTTACCGTATGGAGCGGCAAACCTCAGACCAACAAGGACTTGCATGGCAAATACCACAACTGTTGAAGCGAGAGAGGCAGATGCACGGAGGGCTGAGGTATTTGAGGTTGCGCAGCTTTGGCAGGACCATATCCTGTCCATTGAGCTGCCAAAACAAGGCAAAAAGGAAGACCCGGGGCACCTCCGGGAACGACGGGATTTAGAGGAAGCGCTGGCGCAACGTCCGGGCTCGGAATCATGTCGCCTCGCGAACTATGACACCGCACGCTGTAAAGCAGCATCCATGCAGCGTCCGTGCACACCAAAAATCGCTCCCAGCCTTTGCTCCAGCCCTTCGAGCCAGCGGCCCTGAACAGACCGCCAGCTTCACTCTGCAGAAGAAATGCCGCAGAGCGTATGGAGTAACGACCGCGATCCATTCGACCTATGTCGAATGGATGGGCTTGGATTGGTGTCGGGTACCCTCATCTCCATTGATGCAATCACCCTGCTGCGAATGCAAGCGTTGACCTGAAGGCAAGAGCACCCAAAAAAGAATAGAACGGAAGGATGGTCGTCGGGGCACCAGTGCACCAGCAACAGCCGTTTCTCCTTCCCAACTTCTCTGTCGCAACGCACATCAACAGACACACGAAACAGTCGCAACGGGCGTTGGTGGGCGAAGCCCTCTGTGGACAGGCCTTTAAACGGCACTGGCTCCTTCGATGCAATCTTCGGAAAGGCCACGCATGTTGTGTGGCTTGGTTTGGGGGAAGAGGAGGAGACGGAGGAGGAGAGGCAGAGGAGGATGATGATATTGGTGGTGGTGATGATGATGAGCAGGATGAGGAGATCTGCATCGATTCTTGAGTCTCTTTGTGTGTTTTGAAGAGCTGTGTGTTCTGCGGCCTGCGACTCGCTCTTTGCTCCGGTGGTGTTGGTTTACATGTCGGGTCATGCTTTGTCTAGAGTAGATAGAGTGCTTGCTTCCGTTTAAGTGCTCGCCTTTCCGCCCTCCTATGTTGTGCAATGTGGCATTGTTGCAGCTCGTTGATCCCCTTCTTTCCGTGCTTTTGTCATAGCTGTTCTCGCCTTCGTCTCCATCGTGGTTTCAATCGAGATCTCAACTTGAGAAAAAAACTAAGCCACGCGAACGCAAGTGACAAGAGGCTCAGGACTCGGCCAAGGCGGCGTCACTGAGGCGCTTTTGCCTCAGCTCGAGTCGCGAAGCGCACGGCATCCCTTCGGTCCCGTCGCATCCGCAATGCCTGGGCAGCCGCCGCATCCTCCGGCCCCCAGGTCGGGGGACGCACCTGCGATGGCGATTATCTATTCTGCCACTGCCAGGTGCGCTTTCGGCCTCCTTTGCTCCGGCCCTTTCCGCCCGAAGCCCTTGCCGGACGATCGTGTCAAAGACCGCACAGAGCACAGCTGCAACTTCCGGTCCCCGGCCATGGTGGGGGCGGTACAACCGCGGCCGCCTTGCCTGTCAAACCCACGGGCTGGCACGGGCCGACCTCTGTGCGCCCTTGCGACCGCCTGCGACCAAAGCTGGGCCTCGAGGCCCTGCGGGCGCTCCTGGCAAAGCCCGGCACAGGCTGTGACGGTTTCAAACTTCAGTGAGGCTGCGGCCATGAATGTCGCTGGCGCGGAACATCACCTGTCGACCCCCCACACATCAACGTCTTTCTCTTTCTGCATAGTTTTACAGCGTTCGCCAAGCCACGCCGCCGGGGCGCGGCAGCGGCTTCCCATGACCCTCCGAGCCGAAAATTTCCGAGATCTTCCTCCCTGCATGATTAAGTGCAGACGCCGGACCCCGTAGCAATGTCGGTGTGGTCTCAGTCCCTCCGTGCTCGAGTTGTGCTGCGTTTTGGTCGATGGAAAATCGAACGGTGTCCACAAAACTTTGGGCACAGCCACGTGCTGTAGCCCACCTGATGCCCCTGCCACAGCAAGCCGAAGCCAAAGCAGCCAATCGTGCGGTGGTGTCTTCTAGTTGGCATGACACAATCTGTGAAGCCAGAATCATTCCTCGGCTTTCTAACACGTCATGACAGCAATGTGCCACGTTCATAACATACTGGCGCCGACTCGCAGCCTCTAAGCCACATGGTATTCATGCGCGACTTCTGTCCGAGTCCGAGTCGTCTGTCGTTGGGTCAGCAAGCTCAGCCGGATTTCGAAGGCTCTCCTCTCCGCCTCTCCGGCATTCGAGTCGAAAGCGCAGGCGAGAGTAGTGATTCGGCAAACTGCCATTTGCGCAATGATCTTCAGAAATTCTGGTGAGCTTGAGTCAAGATCACAACGAGTCTAGAGAAGGCAATGCAATGGAAATGTGTGCACATGTTGGCCGAACAAAAACTCGCGTGTGAGATGAGGCCCAGCAAGTCGTCAACTAGCCGCTCAACATCCCCACATGGAAAAAATGTCTGATGTCTTGCACGAAAGCATGCGCACCGGAGACAGAGAACAACATGGCTTACATTGGCTTACATCTCATGCAAGAACATTCAAGACACTAGGTCGCTCGGGATAGTCGCTCGGGATAAGTCTCCAGAATGACCGCTACAGCTTCTATGAGCCCGCAAAGCAAGAAAGCAAACTTGGTCACCTTCTAAGAGGGGTAGCCTTGAGCTTTCGACGCTGCGTCTGCCCAGCACCTGCTTTTGTCCCACTGAGATGCGAGTGGCACAGCGCCTTCTCACGGCCTGAGTGCTCAGCGCAGGGGTCTCGGGTCTTCAGGCATCACACACACTGTCTCGAGAGCATTGCTCTGCTCTTTGTGCCTCTCGCTCAAGTGGCGACGAAGAGCGGTGAGCAGACCAATGTTATCGTGGACAATAACCTGCAAAAGCGAGTGCACAGCCACCGGTTGTGGAAACAACTCAAGCAATACCTCTCCGAAAGGAAACACGCCAAGGGATTTCCGCTCCCGAGTTGCATCTCCATCATTCTCCATCCATAGGGCACCAAAGTTCACCCTGCAGAACGAAGCCTCACATCCCTTCCAGCCCTCAGCGCCAATCTGCTGAAGCCTCTTAGCTTTTTCTGAACTGTGGCCGGAGGTCTCGAGAAAACGCAACCTCGAGGAATTGAGAAGTTGTGAGAAGCGAAAGTTAGTGCGGATCCAACCCGGTGATACTAGATTGCAGAACCGCGAAGGCAGCGTACAGTCAGCAACATCATGGAGTTGAGGCACGTAATTCCCACGACTTGACTATCTGTCTTCCTTCCTTAGCATTCCTTCCTTCCTTCCTTCTTTCCTTCATTGCTTTGCTGGAGGAAGAGTCTGACTGTCGCCAGACATGTGCATTAAACGCCCCCTAGGGTGAAGGGGGAAATCCCCCTCACCACCTCTCTCTCTTCTTCCACACTGTCAAAGGAAGAGCGGTCTGCTCTCCCCCGCGCGGGAACGCGCCCTGCTTGTCCCAGTCTCCGTGTGA